GACGGAAAAAGAATGATAAATGGGTTGCATCTAGACATCGGCATTGAGCCCATTTGCCTATGCCATGCAATTTGCCTACGTCCTCTGCCCGCCAGCTGACCTTGCCGGCGTAAAAGGGTTGCTCAAGGGTTGAGACATCGTCTTGTTCCTGTTGCTGTTCTTGTTGTTGTTGTTGTCCTTCATCGGTAGCTTCTTCACTTAAAGTTGTTGCGATTTCTTGTCTATTTTTTTGGCGCGCAAATTTGTGTTCGCCCTTTAGGCATATGTTAAGGAATTGAAAAAGGAGTAAAGCTAGCCCGTCTGTCTGTCAGGCGTCTCTTTGGGTTCTTTATGGAAATAGCAGCTGGGCTGCCACCAAATTAAATGTTTGTTTTGCATTCACTTCGAGAGCGCTTTAACGTTTTTCTAATGTAAGATGCGTTAATGATTTCTTTATACTTGTACTTTAGCCCCCTAAATTAAATTTTGTTTACTTGTTTATACAACAACACTTTCAAAAACGTATTTAGAATCTAAATTTGAGTACAAAGTTTTAAATTTGTTCTTATTTAAAATAATCATATTTTTAAGCTGACACATCGACCAATAAATATATGCCCAAGGGGTCAAAGACATATCACCAGACATCGAGTTTATTTTTCTTATTGACCTTAATTCCAAATTATGTCTGAAGTAAATGATATGTGAAATAAAAAGTGCGCATAAATACTGATTAAGAAATTAAACTATAGAATTGAAAAACACAGTAACAAAAACAAAATTATAAATAAGCAAACATTAAGATTTTTTGCGCGCCCTCTCTCTTCTTTAAAATCGACAGGATATATAGAAAATATAAACTATCCCTCTTTCTCTAATTAAGTAATAAATATTCATATTTTCGGACGGTGGTTTTGTGAGTGTTTTCAGCACTACTGCCTTTTCCAATAAAAATTTTCATTTCTGTAAATTTTCACTTGTTTTAAATATAGAATAAATGGTAAAATTCCTTAATATTCAAGAAAATGAGTTGAGTTGGAAGATTATATAATATTCGCTTTGATAAATGAAGAAACTAACAGCGTCGTCATTTTTTCTTTAATTTCTTTTGTATCTTGGCACAAAAACATTCATTAATAATCATTCTTCATTTGTATTTATTGGACAGAATTTAACAAAATGTATTTATAATATAGCAGTCAGAAAATAGAATGGGGCAGCCAATTGAATATTAATTTTGAGTGCCTCTGCTTTGCTTACTGGTTTGAGTGCCACAGAAATTAGCCACCACTTTAAAGTGGCCCATAAAATAAGACAATTAAATAATAGCACCCACAAAGCAACGCGTATTAGTTGCACTAATTGTCCATAAGCCATTAATAAAAATGCAGGGACTAGTTTGCCCATTTTTATATTCACAAAAAAAAAAAGAAATTATGGCACTTTAATTGCCAAAGAAGCAACTACGTTTTTTTATTGTTTTTATTTTTGGATTCTTCTGGGGTTTAACTGCTTAACAAATAAACAGTAAAGCAGAGAGCAAAGCAAACATGCATATAAAAACAGAAAACGAAAATTAATGCTAAATAAGAAGAAAATTATGCTAATAATTATAAGCAAGTGCGCCAAGCGCGAGCCAAAGCCATAGCCATAGCCAAAGAGTCTTGGTAAGACGAAGGCAAAGCGAATAACGAGCGAGGCGAGCAACTGACTGACTGAGCGAGCGAGTAAGTGAGAAAAAAATGCAGCCAAAATGCTAATCAAGCTCATTATCATCCAAAATCAACGAAGTGCGAGCAACACCGGCGCCAATGGCATTGCGAGCGCCTACCACGAGATCTTCATTCATTCATAAATACTACAAGCGCTTAGTTTGCTCGCCACTCTGTATTTTTTGTCTCCTTCCATTTTACGCAAGGCATAATTATGCAACAAGTCCTTTCATGGACAAAAAACCAAAGCGGCGCGTGCGCATTTAGCATAAAATAAAAAAAATAAATTCAAGAAAAATTATTCATAGCGCAAAACTGGATTTTGACTGCAATCTCGCACACTAACTCCGTATAAATGTATGCGCTAGGGCTAAACATATTTGAAATTTAAATAAATTTTTTAGCGCCTAATTATCATGTAAATTTTTTGGAAGGACCCCAATACTCTGTGCTGCTCGTTCGCTCTCACTGTTCCTCTTCAACCGTGTTGAGTGACGGACGCTGTGTGGCTTATTAATTATGCCCAAGTGCGTGGCCAAAGGACTCACACACACACACACACACATAACAACAAAAAACAGTGAGAAAAAATGTAAATAAAATGATGCAAATTATGTTGACCCCGACGTGTGTTGTGTTCCTAGTTTGCATAATTCTTTTTGACCTGCCGCAAGGTGTTATAACTGACTGAGCAATGTGTTTTTGGAAAGGTTTAGCTGCGTATTTGATAGGACGCGGTATTGGAAACCTATTTGGGAAGATGAATTATTTCTTTTGTAGCTTTGAAAGATTTAAAAAAGGACAATTATTTCACTTGCTTCCTTATTTATATGTTGGAGAATTAAAGCTGAAGCTCAGTCTGACTATAGTGAGATATTGTATTGTGGAGAGATTTAGACCATTTGCATCAAAAACAAGACCATTAGTCTAAATTGGCTTATCAACATGCTTGCAATCTTTGCATCGGATTAGCTCTTTTGTCTGTCTATTTCTTAAAATAGGTTGCAATTTTTAGGCCATTCCCTTCTTGGCTAGTAACTGCTCCACTCAATCAAAATCACAATGGATGGGTATAATAGAAACTATGCAAATCATGGACATTGCTTGCTGTTAAAATCAATAAAAAATGAACACGCTCTGCAAAAGAAATCAATAATCACACACACACGCACGCACACAGATACATGTACACAGTTAATATACTTAACGGTAAAAAGGCTCTAAGACGCGAGTACCACACAATGCGCCTTTTCTTTGAAAGTGACAGACAAATGAACAATCCAAACTAACTGACTGACTGAATGACGGCTGAACTAACTGAGATAGTAGTAGTGTTTATGCATAACAAGAAAGAGCGAAGAGCGTGCGCGTTACATTGAAACATTTGCATGCAAATTTATTGGCGCGATACATTTCAATTAATGTGCGACTGATTTTACAGTTGTGTACTAACGCGTTAGATGAACAGATAGATAGATAGATGGATGGATAGCTGGATAGGCAGATTATGCAAGAAAAGTTAAATTGCCGCCCATTGTACACGAAAAAAAAGCACGCCCCAACATTTCTAGAGTGTGGTTGTAATTGTTGTTCGCTCACAAAAATGAAAGCAAAAGTTATATATACTTATTTATGTATATATATATTTTTCGTTCAACAATACGCACAAGATAGACAATAGACTTATTGGATACATTTGCCGGAATATTTCAGTTGCTGCCCAACGCCGACGCACACGGGCTACTGAGCAGCAAAGCTTGTCCACAATCCCAGTCAGAGTTGAGTCGGCAGTCCTGCCTCTTCAGGAAAAGCTTCTGCTGTGTGTTGTGCGATAAAAGAGGCGCGCATGGCCATACGCCAAGGGTCCCCCCATATGCTTGCTCTCTCTTTTGCACACACATACTCAGGCACACACAGAGATAGGCGATACTCAAATGTTTACAGAGCGCCAATGTCTATGCCTATCGCTGTTCAATTGTCGGTGTGTGCGTGCGTGTGTGTGTGTGTGCAATTAAAAATGTCACTCTGCATTGGAATCTACAAGCTGCTTTAGTGGGCGTCGCATTGGAAGCAGCCCAATAGAGCGCAAGTCAATTTCCAGGCACACATACACACAAATACAGGCACACCAAGAAGGCGAGCATACAGCTTGCTATCTCGCTCACTGTGCCAGCCATTTAATGCTTGCGCTCGCTCCAACACAGTTCGTCAAATGGCGCGTATTGGAAGACGGGTTGAAAAACTGGTTTCCGTTGCCGCTGCTGTCAGTGTGTGTATATACATATGGCTTTCAGTGTTTGTGTGTGTTTGTGTGTGTGTCTGCCTGTCGTTGTCGTCGTCGTCATCGAGAGCTGTGCGCTCCGTAGCGCCGTTGGCCGCTGCATGACGTTAGTTCACTTCGATAGCTCTACGAGTTTGCACGTGAATTTTCTCCATAGGCTCTGGCGTTGCGCGTAGAATAATTTTCTTGTGACTACATACTTGTATCTTGACAACAAAATAGCCGCAGTAGCAGCAACATCAGCAGCAGCAGCAACAGCAGAAGCAGCAACAATAAATAAGTTCATCTCTTGCCCGGCATAAGCAAAACAACAATTTCAGTGTTTCATTCAAAATAAAATAATATACAAAGAGAATATACAAAAATAAATCGCACCTCAAAATACGTAAATAAGCCGACAAATTGTGCTAAATGTCCAAAATGTGCTAATGTGTCTATATATATGTGTGTCTGTATGTGCACAATAAATTGCACCAAACAACAACAACAACAAAGAGAATTATAAAAATATTTAAAAAAGGCCCACCTGCAATTCGGCCCCTAAACGCGAGTTAATTACAATTAATAAACTGCGCAACTAGTCAACAACGACTGACTACAACAACAACAATTTGCGGGCAGACCAAGAGAATTTTTTGAACCGGTTCGCTGAATTTATACAACATATATAAATATATATATATATATATATAAACGGCAGCAGCCAGCCAATTGAGTCGACAAATAAGAAATACCGTCGGCCAAACAATTCTTTTGAGAATACATCTTTTGGCTGTCGCTGACTTGTTGAGTCAGTGTTCCCGAGCGGTATTGTCGTGATTGTTGCGACAACGGCCGCCTCTCAATTTTGTGTGTCGTCGGTGCCAGGCAAAGACTTCAAGACGGTTGCCTCACGGTTCGAGTGGAATGAGCATAGGGACACTGGGCTTCCTTTCGATCGATCGGTGTTCAAAGTCGTTAAACTGAGCCCCAACTTGGAGCCCTACCCCGCCACTGTGGAGGGCCTGAACAGCCCTAGAGCGGTGGGGATGGCCGCAACGTCGTATATGACACCGCCCAGCGGCGATTTGGACATGGCGCTGGGCGGCGGTGGCTATCACACGTCTTCGCCGCGCTCAGCCACCGATGCGGGCGAGATGAAATATATCCATCATCAGCATCATCATCACCATGCAGCCAGTGCCCATCATCAGTTGCCCTCATCGCCCAGTCCGAATGCGATTGTTGGTGGAGGCGGTGGTGGCGGTAACGGCAATGGCGCCGGCGGTCTTGGATTAAGTGGTTCCGGCCTCAGTTCCGTCACTCCCACCTCAGGCCTAGGCTCAAATCCCTGGACAGCACTGCATACAGATACCTGGGGTCTGCCCACACATCATACACACCATCATCCCGCCGCCGCAGCAGCCTCGGCCGCTGACACCGTTAAACAGGAAATGTCGCATCTAACACAACAGACACGCATCCAACAGGGCATGGTCTCGCCACATGCCGGCTGGCATGCACCACATGCGGGTCATTATGCGCCCACCGGTGGTTCGCCGCTCCAATACCATCATGCGGCCATGAACGGTATGCTGCACCACCCTGCACACGCGGCCGCCGCTGCACACCACCAGAGTGTGGCGCCCCTCCATCATGCACTGCGAGGCGAGTCCCCACAGCTGCACATTCACGCCCATCATATGGGCGGCGATCGTGATGCCATCAGTGGTGGCGAGGAGGATACGCCCACATCCGATGATCTGGAGGCCTTCGCCAAGCAGTTCAAGCAGCGTCGCATCAAGCTCGGTTTCACACAGGCGGACGTCGGGCTGGCGCTGGGCACTCTTTATGGGAATGTCTTCTCCCAAACGACTATTTGCCGTTTCGAGGCTCTACAGTTAAGTTTTAAGAACATGTGCAAGCTGAAGCCACTGCTCCAGAAGTGGCTCGAGGAGGCAGACTCCACCACAGGCTCACCCACGAGCATTGACAAGATAGCTGCCCAGGGGCGTAAGCGTAAGAAACGCACCAGCATTGAGGTGAGCGTTAAGGGAGCCCTCGAACAGCATTTTCATAAGCAACCGAAGCCATCCGCACAGGAAATCTCATCACTGGCGGACTCCCTACAGCTGGAGAAGGAGGTGGTGCGTGTGTGGTTCTGCAATAGGCGGCAAAAGGAGAAGCGCATGACACCGCCAAATACGCTCGGTGGCGATATGATGGATGGAATGCCACCCGGTCATATGCACCACGGTGGCTATCATCCGCACCACGACATGCACGGCAGTCCAATGGGCACCCACTCCCATAGTCACAGTCCGCCTATGCTGAGCCCGCAGAACATGCAATCCGCGGCAGCGGCACACCAATTGGCGGCTCACTAGCAATCAGAAATCCAGGAGTCGAACTCAGCTGCAGCTGCGTCCACTCCTGCATCCAGTCTGCACCAGCAGCAGCAACAACATCAGCAACAACAACAGCACCAACAACAACAACAACAACAACACACGCCCAATACACCGTCCTCGAGTGCGGGCTCGTCGACAACAATGACCACCAATGTGATGTCACCACAAAGTCCCCTTGGTGGTGGCGGCGGCAACGGTGGTTCGAATGGCGGTGCTGCTGGTCAGAACAACAATAATAATAATAACAATAATAGTAGCACCAACAATAATAATAACAACAACAATGACAACGACTCGCACTTGTCTCAGGTGAAGCAACAACAACAGCAACAGCAACAGCAACAACAACAACAACAGGCATCGTCGATAGCAGCCGCTGCAGCCGCTGCTATGTACATCGATCCGATGCGCTATCAACACCCGCACCACCATCCACATCAGCATCCGCATCTGAATCCCGCGCATCATCCGCATCTCTTCCACACTAGCGAGCAACAGCATGCGGCACTACAGCATCCAATCCAATCCCAGCTATCGCCCGGTGGTAGCAGCAACAGTGGTGCCCTGCAAGCGCCCACCTCGGCATCACCCTCGTCGGCGTCCTCGGTGTTGGGCGTAGGCGTGGGTGTGGGTGGTGCACATTTAAACCTGAATCCACACCCGGCGCTTCATCAGCACCACCACTATCAGCACCACCATCACCAGCAGCACCACCACCATCATCAGCAGCAGCAACAACAGTTGCACGCTCGCCGCCTCTTTGAACTGAGTCTACAGTTTGGGGCGGCGGCGGCGCCTGGAGCTGTGCGCCACTTTAATTCGTTCGGTGGTGCGGGTGGTGCTGGCGGTGAATAGCATTCGTCGGCTGCCTGGTTCGGCTACGAGTCCTCATAGGACACGCTGCTGAGCGGGTGGCTGTGCAAACAGGAGCCGCAACTCTAAGGCACAACTTTCTCCAACCATATGGATGGAGGGAGGGGGTAGGGTAGGGGGGATTAATTTCTTTCGTTGTAAGGCAAATCGAACTACCAGTGCATTAATCTGTGTTAAAACTTCAAACTAGTTAAGGACGAGACAGAGAGTACAGAGTGAAAAGAGAGAGATAGAGGGGAATAGCAAGCAGAGAGCTGAGAAAAAATAAAAACTACCGCCCCAACATTTTTTGTTCAAAGTTTCAAAAACTTGCTAAAAAACAAATGTAAAAATAAAATGAAACCAAGCACACGCAATTAAAATCAAACGTGAAACCAAGTGATGTTAAAAATATAAAAATTAATGTTTTAAATATAAAGGCAAAAACTAAACTAAAAAAAACAAAAACAAAACACAAAAACAAAAACAAAGAACTGTGCGCAAAGTGTTAAAAATAACTTCAAATTAAGAAGAGATCTAAAATGTTAAATTTCAAATCAAACCTCAACAGTTGCAAGCACTCAAGGCCGCTGTACAAGGTAATTGTCTTCTAAGCATTACTATTGAGGCGGCCACGCCCACACATTTTTAACACTTTGACGCAGACGCGTAGCATTAAACAAAAATGAAAAACAAAAAAGTTAGCAAAAACAAAAAAATGTTAGCAGAGAACTGGTCGGCCCGCTAATAAAGCACAGGGTCTATAGCAAGGAGTCGTCAGTTACCAGCCGTGCATATATATACATATATATATAGCCAGTAGTCCGTACTATAAAATAGTTGCAATCGCACACACACACACACACACAAATAAAAAGAATAAAAATTCCCAAACACACACACACACACAAACATACTACATACATATACAAAAATTGAAAACAGAATCGAAAAACGAAAACTTAGAATTTAAAGCGCGCGGCGGAGTAAAGAAAAACCATCTGTAAATAACTACAGTTAAGTCATATTTTTAGCTTTAAATGCAATTGTAGATTTTTTAATATAAATGGAAGTAAAACAAAAACGAGAAAAATAAGCAAAAAACATGCATAAATATAAATTCGTACTTTGTAGGCGGTAAACTAAATAGGCACTTGAAGTTTAGTTACTTAGTACTGTACTTTCTATATAAGCAAATAATTATAAAAGAGTAAGAAAAGCAAGAAGGAAAACCACATAGCTAAATCTTAAATTTATAAAATCGAATAATCAAATACCAGAAATGCTAAATTGTAAAATATAATACCGATTGATGTACATTAATGATAAACAAAATAAACTGAAACTATTTCAAACAAACAACAAAAAACGAAGAATAAATATAATATGATTGTGTAAAAAATGTTTAATGTTTTTTATATATAGTATGTATAGATTATGAAACATTTTTTATAAAACAAAAAGTGGCCGTTTTTTAATTTTTTATTGTATAAAAAATGAAAACACAAATTTTTAACTATTACTTAAAGATCGCTTTTAGTTATTTTTTGGGTGTAATTAAATTAAATTAAATTGAACAACAAAATATATATACAACAAAAACCTTTGTTTAGTTATTTTGTTTGGTACGTTGAAAACTACAAATTACTGATGATAATGACGAAAAAAAATTTAAAATAAAATTACAGCAAGAAAAACATTTAACATTTAAGCCATGCCCTCAATTGTATAATAAATTATGCTACAACAAAATGGAAGCACCAAGTCAACAAAAGCGGTATATTCCACCCACACCAACACTCACACAAACACACACACACACATATATATATACACACAATACAAAAACAAAAAGAAACCAAGAAAAGATGAACAAAAAAAAAACAACAAAACTCTTTAAAAAAATAAAAAAGAATATTATTCGAAAAGAAAAAATTCACAATTGTCCTTTTATTATTATTTAATTAGCGTTTATGGCGTCCATTTTGTTGTTGTTGCTTTTTATTCCATGGCGTGGGCTGGATGCAAACTTTATGAGTCGTTGGTTTTGACAGTTTTATGAGCAGAGCCTTTTGTTTTCCCGTTTCCCATTTCGATAATTGCGCGTATTATTTTTGTTTATTTAAACTTTAAAGTGTTCGAAAAACCATTAACAATTAAGTGGCATATAATGCGATTGCCTACCTCAGAGCAATTGGCAATTAACTAATAATGCTTATTGTTTTTGTTGTTGTTGTTGTCGCTGGTGCTGGTTCTGTTGGCTTTGGCGGTCATAAAAAACCGTGGCATTACATTAAAAAAATTGTTATAAGGCTTTAAACGATTTTGTGCTAAGTGGCACGCATTTTTACTGGGGTCAGATTTGTGCGCAGCAATTGGAGCAGTACTTAATTCCGTGACGTCACAATGAGTAATAAAGGGACTTTTTATTGAACTTTCAGATATCGATCAAATGCTTGACATATTTATCTTAAATTCTTTATACCTTTGTTCTTATGAATAATGCCAGATTTCTTCTTTTTTTGTTGTTTTTTTTTAAATTTTGTTTTGTAAATGGAAGTTATTTTTATTATTTTTGCGGTTCGCTAAAAATCCACTAATTTAATTATACTTGCAGCTGTGACCTAACACGAGATTATATTTCTTGAAATTGAAGTCATAATTTTGCTTTTATTGTATTTTTATGTAGGGTGAATAAATGTAATTATTTTTGGAGAACTCTATATATTCATTAACCACTTGCAGAGGCACCCTAATGCAAACATAATATCGGTTCCCTCATCGCTTTAGAATAATTATCTGGTTTTTAAATATGCAACAAGCTTGCATGCTCTCGAGTCGCTCTAACATTTGAGAGTAGTAATTCAAAATTGCGTTAAGCACTTGAATAAATTATTTGCAATTTTCGTGCCATAAGAATATAATGCTTTACATGAATTTATACAATTGCGTATTCATGATAAACGCAAATCAATTTAAATTCAACTAAACATCTTTATCCAAAGCTATTTTAAGTTAATAAAATGAAAGAAGCTGAAATATTTGTCTAATCTCATATTATGCATCATATTTCTAAGCAATTTAAATTCTGAACTCACTATTCCTAACACAATTTCTATATTAATTTATCACATAAATTGTTAGTGTTTGTCGCTTCATTAAGTGATGTCGTTAGGTTGTACAGAAGATTTGTACAACATATTTAGTTTGTTTGAAATTAACTTACAACTAATTTTGGGACATTAGTTATCTTTAAAAGTTCTTTTTAAGCGAATTGTCTCTTCGCGTCTTCTCATCGGCATTGCCTTTCCATGTGACAGCACTTTGCACAAGTGCAGCTTTAGAATGGATATTACCTTTATAAATGAGTAAGTGTTGAAATTTCTTAAAATAGACATTTCTTTAAAGAAGCAGACTCGGCACATGCTTTCTCACCCCCATTTCCCGTTCAATTCTTGCCACGTGCCCACAACCAGACATTCCAAATTGCCGCAAATTGCAAGCAATATTATTAAAAATGTCAATTTGTTTGATCGCCAGTCGTAATGTTCTACATGCACTTAATATTAATTCATAATTTAAATGCATACGTCATCAATTCAATTTGGCTGCTGATTAATAATTTCGTACGTTTTTTTACATTACTTTACAGCTGCTTAGTAATTTTGCATAAAAATTTCATCAGCCTTTTGTAAATATTTTGTTACCATGCTCCAATTGATTTAAAAAAAATATATAATATTTAAAAAAAAATTGGTTAAAAACAAACAAAATCACATAATTGAAAGCCAGTTTTAATATCGAAAAAAATACGCATAAAATATAAAATTGAGAAAAACATTTATACAGAAGCGCAAGTGCAATGAATTTGGTTCAAATTTTTTGCTGTTTTTTTTTTTTTTTTTTTTTTGTCGAAAACAAAAACAATATATAGGTTGGTTTTATTAGCTATAATATTGTTGCTTTTGTGCATTAAGCTGTTTTCATTTCAACTTTAATTTACTTGAAAATTGTTGGCTTGTATTAGGCGTGTGGCAGATTGAGCTGCAATAAAAGGTGGCAGCAAAAAAAAAAAAATACAAAAACAACAAAAAAATAATAATAAATTTCAATATAATCATTAATTATATCCGCATATTGCAAATGCTGAGAATTAAATAGTAACGGAAAAAATAGATGTATACATAATATATATAAATATGTATATGTCGCTTAATGCTTATAATGAAATTGAACGCACAAAAACATGGCCACAGAGCATGCCCAAAACCCACCCACCCATCCACCTACAAACACACAAACAAACAAACAAACAAACAAACGCGTACATACATATATAAATGAATGCCTGCCCACCTGCCTGCCTGCCGCCTGCGCTTGAGGGTGTGCAATGCGGCTAACGAACATGGCCAAAACAGCCACGCCAACAGCAACACCAACACCAACACATGCGCACCTACATACTCGTATGTATGGTATGTACATGTGTAGTAAATATAAGGGCAGCCCCAAATGTGCGAGAGGTCGTTAAAAGCGCACACCAAAACATGCCTCTATATACATATAATAGCTATACATTTTCTATATAAAAAACACATTATATGATAAAAATTACTAATATACGCCAGCAAATTGTAGTTTTCATTGGTTTTGTTGTTGCTGGTATTTTTCCTTTTTTCTTTTTATAATTTTGAGTTTTTTCCTTTTCGTTTTTGAGTTGGTGTGCGTGTTAAGTGCGACCGACATCGACACTGCCGCCGACATTTTCATTATTATTATTATTTGAAGTTGGCATTATTATTTTTTTTTTACTGTGCTGTATTCGTGCGGCTCGCTTTTGTGAGCTGCTCGTGTTTTTCACTGCTATTGCTGCTGTTGTTGTTATTGTTGTTGTTGTTGCTGTTATTATTGTTGTAATTTTTGTTGTTGTAGTGCTTGCTTACTGTTGTGTTTTTATTTTTTGGCTGCGTGCATACAACCGTGTCAATAATTACCCGTGGGACTGACACGACCAACGAGAATCATTCAAATGTTGCAAAAGCGGCAACGTCACTACACAGGCGGCAACGGTGGCGGCAACGGTGCCGCACAACAACCAC